GTGTAGGGAAGCTGCAGTGGGGCAGGGGGTGCCCAGGTGGTGGGGCCCCAGAGGGCTCTTGGACTCACCCACCTGGTGGTCCTGGTGCTTGTCCTGAGAGTGGGGCCCTAGGGCTGGGGGTGCCTGAAGAAGCCTCAGTGTCCCTCCTTACGTGGCCTCCGCTGTCCCCAAGTTAGTATATACTTTCCCTTAATCTCCTCCAGGTTCTTCCCTCCCAACCCCCACGTCTGCCTTCCAACTTCTGGTGCTCAGGGTCTTTGGCAGCCAAGACCCCATCTCCTGGAGGCCAAGAAGTCTGCAGAGGGGGAAAGCAGTGGGGTTGCTTGAAAGACAGAGGGAGGGGTTCCCTGCCCAGAGTCTGGGACTGGAGGCTGGGGCAGCTGTGCATGATAAAAGTTGTGAGTGGTGACCCTGAGTGACTTGGCACAGGTCTCACAGGCCCAGCCAAACACAAGGTATTGTTTATGCAGGAATTTATTTATATAAGAGGGAGACAGTGGAAAAGTCCCAGGGCCAGCAGACAGGCTGTCCAGGTCCTGAGCTGCAGCTGGGTGACCTTGGAGGAGGGCACACAAACCCTGCCTCCACTTCCTGTCTGGGACCTGAGCTCTGCACGGGTTCCCTGGAAATCCTTGAGTCCCTTGCCCTCGGGCCAGTCTGTGTGAGGGTGTCTGAGCCCTTCCTTTACAGGGCGTGACCAGACATCCTGCCTCTCTCCTTCTCAGCCGCTGTTCAAGAGGTTCACACAGACCCGCTGGGCAGTGCCAGAGGAAACCCTAGAGGAAATTATTGGCACTGTGGAGGGAAGGCTGCCTGAGTTCTCAGAGCTGCATGACTGTTTCCGGGAGGTGAGGAGGCCCTGGGCTGGTAGCAGCCTGGACACTCATGCTAACACATGCGTGGACATCCACACATGCTCACACACACACACACACGTGGGAACAGGGGCACACATGTGCATGCCTTTGCTCTGGCATCTGCCCTCTGGATTCCTGAGCTTCAAGGGAGGTAGTGAGCTCCCCGTTGGCCGTTGGCTCACACCGCCCTGGCTGCTTGCCCACCCAGGAGCTCCTGGAGGCTGTGCACCTGCACCTGGTGAAAGAGTACATCATCCGCCTCAGCAAGCGGCGCCTGGTCCTCAAGACTGCCGAGCAGCAGCAGCAGCTGGCGAGGCACATCCTGGCCAACGCCAGTGTCATCCAGGACTTCTGCACTAAGAACGTGAGCCCCTGTCCACTCTCCCCAGGCCCTAAGGGATGGGCCCCAGCCCCTCAGGTCCAGGGCAGCACTTGGGAGCCTCTCTGAACCTGATAGTTATTGCCTGAGCGCTGGGTACCAAATGCCTGTGAGGACAGGGGTACTCAACCAGGCCTGTGCCCACAGGGCTCCACCGCAACGTGGCTGAATCCTGCCCTCCCCACGCTTGCTGAGATCATTCGCCTGCAAGACCCTAGTGCCATCAAGATTGAGGTGGCAACATATGCTACCTGGTACCCTGACTTCAGGTGAGAACAAGGGACCCTCAGGATCTAAGCAGAGCGTGTGGCCCTGACAGGTCCTGCTGTGGAGTCCACCTCTCCAGGACCTGTGCAGCACAATTGCCGAGGCTTCACTGAGATGCACGTGGTGGTGTCCACCTGTGCAGGCACAGACTAGGCTGGGGACTCATGTGTTTGGTCCTCACTGCAACCCTACAGGGTGGCACTGCTTATCTCCATTATACAGCTGGGGCCTGGAGAGCGAAGGAGTGTGTCCAGGGTGACATGGCTAAGATGACAAAGCCAGACAGGAGCTCCACTGCCCATGCTTTTAGCTTTGCTTGAGACTGCCACCCAGAGGGGAAGCAGACCAGAGAGATCAGATTTTACCACTTGGCCCACAAGTCCCTGGGGGCTTGGACCTATGCCTGGGCTCCGGGGCTCTTGTCAGGATGGAGGCTTAGTCCCTGGCTTCCTGAGGGCCAGTGAGCCGTGGAAGTTGTTCTTTCTGGGCTGGGTCCTCTGACACAGTAGGGAAAGTTTGAATAGGCTTTAACTGGGATCAACCTAGCTTAGCCTAGTCTAGCCCATGGCTGATTCACAGTACTCATCCATTCATCTGTCTACTCGTATGAGAACCCATCCAACCATCTACTCATCTGCCTGCCTAGCCACCTGTCTACCTATCCATCTATCCTTCTAGCCATCCATCTATCCATATCCATCCATTCATCCATCCAACTATCCTTTCACCTGTCCATCTACCTCCTTATCCACCCACCCACTCACCTACCCACTCATCCATCCACCCATCCATCCATCCATCCATCTATCCATCCATCCTTCCATCTATCCTTCCACCTGCCCATTCATTCTATTATCTACCCACTCACTTACCCACCCACTCATCTATCCATCCATCCATCCTTCCATCTGTCCTTCCACTCCCTTATCCACCCACCTACTCACCTACCCACTCATCCATCCATCCCTTCATTCATTCATCCTTCCATCTGTCCTTCCATCTGCCCATGCACTCCCTTACCCACCCACCAGTCCCATCCACCCACTTTCCCATCTACCTAGCCATCCTTTTGCTCATCCCCCCCAAAATTCTTCAGCAGTCTGCTGGGTGCCAGGCTCTGGATGCGTACAGTGAATCAGCCATGGGCTGGACTAGGCTAAGCTAGGTTGACCCCATTAAGGCCTGTTCAAACTGTTAAGGCTCTGGGGTGCCGGGAAGTATAAGACGGGCTTCCTCAGTCCTACCAAAGGTTGCTTGCGCACTGTGGAGCCAGGGGCAATGAAGAGGCAAAGAACTATGACAGTCCTGAGTTGTAGAGTTTAACCAAGAGCGTGAGAAATAGGGGGTGCTGACTTCAGAGATGAGGACACTTGGAGGAAGTGAGGTTTCAGCTGAGACCTAGAGAGTGGGAAGGAGCTGGTCACCTCCAGAGGGTGAGGAAGAGCCAGTACAGAGGCCTGGCTGGAGGGCAGTGGGGAGGGAGAGTGAGGCCCTCTGGTGGGCAGAGGGTTGGCTGCAGGGCTCTGTGGCAGGGCCTAGAGTCTGTGGGACCAGGAGGGTGTGAACAGGGGTGTTGGAGACAGGTTAGGCTGACGGGGTGTTCTCCTTGCCAGCAAAGGCCACCTGAATGCCATTCTGGCCATCAAGGGGAACCTAACAAACAGTGAAGTCAAGAGCATCCGGAACATCCTGGACATCAACACGGGGGCACAGCAGCCCTCTAGGTCCCTATTTTCACTTATAAAGGTTGGTTAGCTTTTCCTGACCTGCTTGTGACCACCCAGGGAGCACCAGGCACCACCCCATTTGGTGAAAGCTGCCCCACTGGGGGCTGTTCAGACCAGCACTGGCTCCATGACCCTCCTGTGCCTCTCACATGCTGCTGCTGCATTTGCCTGGTCCTGACTTTGAATAGGACTTAGGCAGCTGGAATTAGATGGACCCCACTTTGTTGACATGTCCAGTGTGGCAGGAGCATCCACTATGGGAGATGATGGCAGCACCTAAATGATGTTGATTGTGTGTGTGCCAAGGGAGGCCAGTGATGGAGTGGCCAGGGCCAGGGATCCTGGGCATGCCCAGCCAGGGTCCTCCTACAGCCTGTCTCCTGACATTCCTCCACATGGTGGGCCTGAGTGCCTCTTCCAGTTCCCTAGGGCCAGGGGCAGAGCCTTACTCGACCTGCTTCCTTCAGCCCATGGCTGAAATAAGCTGGGCTAAGCAAGACTGAAATTGAAGATGGAACTGGAAGAGAAAGATGCATTTTTACGTGGTGCCCCTGATGGGGCCCGAGGGGTTCCCTGGTGAGTTGGGGTAGAGGTAGCATGAGAGCCCACTTCCAGAGCACCCTGCAGTCCCCAAGGGTTTCTCCTGCAGCGGGGCCAAGGACCTCCTGGGTCCTCTCAGGTCCTCCTTGCCCTGTGCAAAGCCAGGCCCCAGGTCAGTCTGTGAGCCCTCCCATCTGGAAGCCGGCCG